ACCGACGCTGTCGGCTGCAGATACACAAACCATAAACAAAGCAGTGCGTGCTTACCGTTTTAAATATCAATCCTGCTAAACACTTTCTTTATTCCACTCCGCTCGTGTTAATATTGAAATATTCGCCAAGGAACACCCAGGTAAGATGACGTAACATAAGAACAGCCTTCTATCTGTAGAGTTTTGACTTCTTTGCTCGCTGTTTTGCTATTATTCTCATGCATTGACTCTTTCACTAAGCTGAACAGCCAATCAGAGTTCCCTCTTTCACCGACGGCCCGACGCCGATTCAACATGTCGAATCGGCCGAAACAAAGCCGACGAGGAAACACACCGAGGAAACTCAGTCGGCCGACGCACAAAAACTGCCCGACGGCCGACCGTCGGCTTGGTGTGTTCCAGGCTTAACTCAGTGGCTGTAAGTGGGTTAGGAATAGGATTTCAAGTTATTTTGAAAAAATGTACAAAAAAGAGAATCACATAACCCACCTTTAAGACACTGCGTTACATGTCAAATCCTGATGTCACATTTCTTTCCGGGATATATGTGTGAACGCAGTGAAAATCACTTGCAGTGTACCAAAATCAAACGATCCCGGGACACATTATCAGTGTATTTTCCAGACTCTCTTCTAACTCACAAGTTACCAGTCTGATTTAGCTCGACAAATCCTTTATTGAATGAACACACTGAATCCATTGGAGCGTTACTGATCCTTATCCGACTTACTTAATGAACTGCAAGTCATCTCGAAATGAAGCAAGTTTTATGTGCTTCAGCATCATTGGTGACTGTTCTATGATAACTTAATTAGTTGAAGAAACACACTGAGATTTTCTTTCTACCCAAGACAAATATGTATTCTGCTTTGTCCTCATTAAAGCACAAATTTAAGGAGGGCAACATATCAGACATTCACTGAAAAAATTGGTGCTCTTAAAGGTTCTCGAGTGCAACAGTGACCCACTTTTCAACGGTCTAATGGATGTTTTTCATCACTGCTAAATCAGGCCCGACCGTCTGGCCCAACAGAGAAATGCGAGGAATGACAATGGCTCTTATTTTCTGCATCCTTGCCAAGAGATATGCTAACTCTTCAGCAATGCACAGCATTCCCATCGCCAGTGGGAAGAGCGTATCGGAAAGGGTCACGGGATGCCTCAAAAGTCTATATCAGAATCCATTAAATACAAATGATGGAAAAATACAAGCTAAAATAACGCTTCAACAAAGCACAGCGCATTAAAGGGATAATTCAATTCCGTCTGTGTGTGTGGAACAAAAAAGATGTAATAGAAACAGACAGTGTTTTTTGTTTATGCAATGGAAGTCAGTGGTTTCTAAAACTACTTGGTTATCAACACACTTCAAAATATCTTCTTTTGTGTTCCTCAGAAAAAAAAGAAAGTCAGGAACGGCATGAGGGCGAGTAAATGATGAACTACACCTTTAAGCTGTGGTCATGTGATGCAGCGCAGCCCTTCAGATGTAAACAAGAGTTGAGAAGACAGACTCATGAGGAAGGCATAAGCAGCTTAACGGCACTATGATTTAAATCAACTGAATGTATTTTCTGCTTGATTAAAATTAAAACATTCAAACAATCGACCACAGCAAACAATCAACTATATGGTGTACAGAAATACTGCTGACACATCAGCTAATCACACATATAGAGGCAAAAACAAACATTTAGAGGCCTTCCTTCTGCCCTCAGTGTATCATGACAAAAAAATCCAAACATTTTTTAGATTTTTGTACAAAAGAGCACCATGTCCTCCTCATCAGGTGCAACACGATAAGTTTGTAGTGAAGCAAATTAACTTTATGTAATGAAAAATAAAAAAGCATGTGACACTGAAACAGCCAATGAGAACATATTCAATGTTAAATATAGAGGTAAGAGTCAAATATTAGGCTATAAACTCAAAAAACAAAACAAAAACTCAGGATACTGCATTTTAAATATCATTTTGTAAAATCCAAATAAGCTTTACAAATCTTTATTGGAATGGGCAGTTTCTTTTTCTTTTCTTTTTTGCAGAGTATATCTATATATGACAACCATGACCACACTTACAAATGCATGATAAAGAAAAAAAACTTGACTGACTCGTTTCCTCTATGAACAGCAAGTAAGCAGTTTCGTTCCCCAGCTAACTAGGCCAGCCCAGACTCAAGAGTGTCACATGTGCTTATGTACTTTTTTTACAATAGTGACATGTTGAAACATTTTAAAACAACCAAAAATCTCCCTTTTTCTACACATAAAAACATCAGCGCATCAGCAAACTCTTGCAACAACAATGCGATTGGACGCTGCTTTAGAAACCGGTGTGTTTTTGTATTCCTCAGAGAATCTCAGTGACCTCTCTTTGTCCTGAGGGTCTCGTGTGGGACACACTCCACTGATCGCGCTTTTCCCCAGGGGGAACGTCATGATGGACACCCGTCACTTTCACTGCAGGCTCAGTTGCACTACAACCATCTCTAAATGTATCATTTATTGCGAGTCATCAATGCATCGACCCTCAACAGACATGAATGATTGCAAGCTTCTCCATGGCTCAAAGTTCCACAATGCACACATCAACAAAATGCACATCAGGATAAGGATGGTTCGATGGCCTGGGACCAGTGTGAGAGTGTTTCAATCAATCAATCAATTTTTATTTATAAAGCGCTTTACAACAACCAGAGTTGATCAAAGCGCTGGACAGAGACAAAAAGTACAGGACAAAAAATAAAGAAGTGAAATAGAAGACAATGCAGTAAAATAGTTTTCAGTAAAATACAGTTTCAGGCCATTTGTCCTATTGGGCCAGAGCAGCTTTATTACTATATGCACAGGCACCTCCCCCTTAATGAGTAGACACGCCCCTTACTTCTAATTGGCTACAAATGTGTTGTGGTGCTGGGTCCAATCCACTTATAAACAGCGTTTCTCAAAAATCGCTTACTGCACCTTGTTTGTGGTTGGACCATGGGTGTCCTTAATAAAGCTTTGATGATGATGATGATGATGATGATGATAGTCACCAGTAATAAGAAGGAAATTCAGCAAAACAAAATTCAGTGACTGACTGACAGTGTTTCACCTTTTACATATGATTTAAAACACCAACGGTGCAGTTCACAGGGAGGCACGACTATCACCCCCTTATGCAACAAAACACTTATGGAATAAATCAGCATAAATGAAATACCACTTTCACAAAGATCCAAGAAAATTTAAGAGAAAAATGATGTTCTGATTACATCAGTGGAGATCTAGCAAAAAAATGCAATGCAAGATGAGGAAGCCCGAAACCACAGGAAATCTGAATCTGCACTCTCTCGCCCTACAAGACTTCACGTGCTGGTTGAAAAAGCCTTTTATAAGAGAACATGTTGTAAGTGATTCACTGTAAAACGTATAATATAAATATATAAACGTAAAATATCAGGGGCGTTTCCTCTGAGGAAGCAAGGGAGGCAGTGCATCCTCATTGGACGAGAAAATAATCCATTTCACAAAAATAAAACAACGCAAATATTACAAAACGTGACATTAAAAATTGTAAAAATCACTTGTTTTTCTTAAGTAACACTTTCCAACAGCAACACCCGCACAGTAAAGTTGGAGCAGGACGCCGCGTCTCTCTTGCCTCCCCTGAGCCCATTGACTTTTAACAGACCCACTAAATTAATTGAGGGTAATTTGATAAGTCACATGAGAGGAGGCAATGCCTCCATCGTGCTATGATTGGATGTGATTAGTAATGATTGGATATGATTGGTTAGTACGATAAATACTGCCCCTTGTTTTCGTGCGCATTCTCGAATCAGTCTACATGAACAAAATGATGCCGTTAAATGGGAAGAGTAATTAAAAAGTAAGTAAACCACTCAGCCATTTAAATATCACTGCGTTATATCACGTCAAAATCAAACTTGAAATGGCCTGAAAACATGATGACTGTGGGGGTTTTAGTGAGCAATCAGCTTGGTGAAATTAAAGATACATATTTGTGTCTGTGTCCAGTGTTTACCGAGTTTGATAATTGATGTAAATAAGTTGACTATTAAAAAGAACAGCTGGACATCAGTTCACAAATAAAATATGTTGTTTAAATTGTTACTGCCTTTAGTTATTGTTTTGGAATAAAAGTAAAAAAATGCTTAAAAACACAAATACAAAATAGAATTGTATTTTTAATTATTGTGTGTGTGTGTGTGTGTGTGTGTGTGTGTGTGTGTGTGTGTGTGTGTGTGTGTGTGTGTGTGTGTGTGTGTGTGTGTGTGTGTGTGTGTGTGTTTGTGTGTGTGTGTGTGTGTGTGTGTGTGAATACTGGAGATGAATGAATTGATCAGATCCAGATGTTAGGTTGAAAAAGTCTGAACAGATTACATAATAATGCAACCTTGTTTTAATGAATGCTGGAAATAAAAAGAACTGTTTATGAGGAAATAAAAGCTATTGCACAAATGAAGTCAACACAAATATAAATAAACGCAGGACATAAACACTTTAAAAAAGGTATTGTAGAATATAGATTGTATATCATAACACTGATCCTCATTCTTTGTCTTGCAAAATAGAAGTAAACAATGTCAATCTCCGTTTTGGTTTGGTTTATGTTTTATGTTCAAGAATATAGATGGAAGAGATATTATGAAATGAGAGATGCTTGAGTTTAATCGACTTCATTTGAATAAGTTTTCACCAATAATACAAAAATAAAGTACATTTTGTCCTTTAAGAATCAATAGTCTCTTCTTTTATAAGGTCAACTATCTAGAACACTCCTAAAGTACAGTATCTATGCATAAAAAAAATAATAATACAAATCTCAACTCGTCTACCCAACTGAAAATAACGTTACATTTTTACGTATTTTCTGCTGCTGTAGTCACTATTATTGAGGTTTAACATCACATAACTAACACCTTTAAGCAAATACACAATAAAACCTCGCAAATGTGTCGAAATCAGAGCGGTAACGTGATCTGGTCTTACCGGACAGCTCGTCTGGCTCTAAGCCGCTCTCGGTGTCCAAACCGCAGGTCACGAAATAATCCGCGAAGCGGCAGGAGCTCGAGCTGAATCCGGTGCTCATTTTGAGACGGCTCCAGTTGTGCTCTTCTGTTTATGAGTTTAGAGGAGCGCATAGTACGAGCTCCCTCGATCATTCTGCGCAGACATTGCGGATGAGGATCAAGACAGGAGAAGCCCCGAGCGCCAGTCGCATTGTGGCCTCCGGTAACGTTACAGCTGTTCTCTCATCGTCCTCCGAGTCCTCAGCGGGCGCGCACTCGCTCGCTCTTGCGCATGCGCACTGCTCTACTCGGGATGACGTTATGCGCTTAAGCATCATCGCGCGTGAAGAGACTGAACGCCGCAGCATCAAACTACGTATCGCTTCTCTGACCGAAAAATAACGTCAACTCACATATTCAGTTATCATCCAGGAGCTAACTATGAAGTAATTGCAGTAGCCTACAATTTAAACAATCTGTCGTGATAAATCGTAGCAGCACGGCAATAAATGTTGTTTGATGTTGCCCTCTGGTGCCGGATTTGGAAATCGCGTGCATTTTAAAAACAGGCAATTCTTCATACACTTATGAATGTAAAATGTGTCATTATAAATTTAAAATGAGAAGGGTCTAATTTCAGAGTCACCACAAAAAAAACTGGCTTACACAGAAGTTTGAAGATAAATACTTTTTAATAAAATTTGAAAAGTCGACACAAAAGATAGTTTACTAGGTAGCAACTGTGTATAATTTTAATAGAGACTTCAACAACTTTATTAGACAAAAAAGTAGGAAAAAACCCCAGAAATCTTCCCATTCTGTATCTCTACACTTTTTTTCCCCCAAAAAACAAACACAAGTAGGCAGAGAAATATCTATTTTATGGATTTCATAGTTGCAGAACAACAACAAAAAATGCAAACCTCCAACTGAACTGAAAGGAAAAAACATTATGTTTCATCATGATACTCTCAGATCATGACATAACAACTTAAAATGAATGAGGATGTCCTGGCAGAAATGTGAATGTATGCCACTTTTATTATTTATTTATTACTTTTGTAAAACTATAATGAAAAAAAAAAGCTTGGTGCTAATGACTGCAGTTTCGGTGACACCTATTATTTGTTATAAAAACATATTGTACACATGAATGCCAAATAAATAGATTTATTCTGATTTTAACATTTATAACTTTACATTATAGAACAGAAGTTTAACGGTCTGGGAGGTAGACAACCAAAACATTTCACAAAATCATACGTGTTTTAAGTGATAACTGGTCAAATATTTGATATACTGTACTGTACAACAAAAATACAAATCATAAATTGCTCAAAAGTGAAGTTAGTTATGATAATCTGTCCAGATGCTTAATTTTAAAGGTGAGCCACTATATAAAAACATATACAATTTTTTTGAAAAGGTTATATGTAATATGTAAATGTTTAAAACAACTTTAATAATCATGTCAAATAGTAAATGGGTCTTTATTTAAAGATGGAGTTATAAAAATGAGTGCATACATATACACTGTGATTCAGTGAAAATAAAGAGGCAAATGTTACTAATGTATTTAATCATCATATAATAAATATATTAGAAGATGGTCAGACATTAATAGATTTTAAAAATACAGGACACAGCAGTACATTTTAATCTTGTGTAATACTGTAATCAGTAACCTTAATTTATTGATAAAGACAATTCTGTAAAAATATGATAGAGAAGAAATCAGGATGAGAACAATTAAGGAAATTATAAATAGGTGAGAGAGATTAGTATCAACACACTAACCATCATACAGTTTGGTGAGACTTTTGCAGAACAACCGCATAACTCACATTTGCTCTCTCAGTTTGGTACAATGTTACATCAAGAGCTCCTGGGAACATTTGGACATTTAGAAATGACACAAATTAAATGTGGATCAAAGCATGAGATAAATCAAATGAGGTAACAGGGAAATAATATCTGTTATAAGACCGTCCCTCATCGCACCCTTCACTTAAGAGAAATTTCAGTGCAAACTATGTTCATTTATTCTCATCCCAATAAAGTCAGTCAGGAAAAACCTAGAGTATTGAAGGTTTCCAGAAAGTACAGACAGCATTGTATATTAGACAAACGTATGACATTTTCGTAAGACTGATTTGTTTTACTGAAAGGCAACTTTAACGGCATAACCACACTGAGCAGCCTCGATTAAATAGACATATTCCATATCCAACATATGTTTTTAAATGGTTTTAATATTCCATTTAAAGCATTTTACAGTGGCTTGACTTGACTAGGTCCAGGATATACCAACTGTAACAGTTACAAAGCTCCTACATCTCCAGGTTCAGAATGTAATACTTCCCTCAAACTAAAAACTACTTCTTTTAAACAAAGTTCAAAATCAATCATTTGGCATTTTGACCATTTCATCTGAATGAAAAGAGAGAAAAATTGTGTTTGAAATGCTAAAATATGCCTCAAAATGAGAATTCTCTCATCATTTACTCACGCTCGTGTCATCCCTGATGTACAGGACTTTCTTTCTTCAGATGAACACAATTTTTTTTTTTAATGAAAATAACCAATTTCTGTGAGTCCATATAGTGCAAGTGAATGGGTGACGCTTGGTTGATAAAAAAAAAAAAAAAAAAAAAAAAAAATGCAATCCATTTGACCCCAGTGGATGATTCAATGTCTTCTGAAGCGAAACTGTAGGTGTGTGGAAGAAAAATACTAATATTTTGAATCTACTGTCATTTGAGCGTTCAAGAGAGGGACGATGTGACACTTAACGAAGTGAAACGATGGTCGCACTATTGTTTCACTTCAGATTCACACTCTGGATTACTGATCGCTGGGTGTAGTAAGCATTATATGGACTCCTAGAGATGGATTATTTTCCTAAAAATCTTAATTTGTGTTTATCTGAATAAAAAAAAAACATTGTGGATGGCATGAGGGCATGAGAGAATGGATAAACTATCCTTTTAACGGTTCAGTATGTGAGGCATCAGGCTATTCGTTCCATTTCTTTTACTTCAAGTAACCTGTTATATTAAGGCAAAACCATCTAAATGCAATCTACAGTCTTGATCTGTAATACTAATGTGGCATCATCCATATTTATGAGTATTTTAGGTCTATACCAAGAGCTAAGCACTACCATCTACAGTCGGCAGCGGTTCACAGGAAACTGTTAAGAGATCGGGTCCCAACTGCAGTCTAAGCTGGCATAAGAAGATCAGAATTAGAAATAAAATCTGTAAACCCACAAAGCTCACCCTCGAAAAGTCTCTGAAGCATGTAATAACACATTTGAATATTAAATTAGCTGTAAGACCAAAGAAGTAGAAGTTGGCACTTTCCATTTTAGCTCAGCAACTTCAGAGGGAGTGAAAATGTCTCTTCCAGTGCATCACACATTATTCATAACTGTTTTGGAGAAAATATCGAGAGATTTGAAATCCACTGACTGAAGATATTGATGTGGGAAATATTGCTTAACGCTAATGATGATGGATAATAAGTGATGATAGAAGTTTTATCCCATGAAAGTCCTGTCCAAACTATGGAAGGCCAGTCCTGACAGCCCATCATATGAAGAAATGAGGGTTTGTCGTTCATGCATAAAGGAAGAGAAGAAAGCAAGGAGAAGTTTCATTCCTGAGTTGAACCAAGCAGGGGTGGAGATCTCTACTCAAGCTTCTGCTGGAGTTTCTTCTGAAAGCAGACGGGCAGGATGGAGACGACAGCTAAAACCCCCAAGACGATGAGAGAGTTCCAGGACACGGCCTCGCCAGCTGTGGTCAGTTTGTACAGCGTCGTCCCTGCGTTAATCGCCACAAACGACGGAGGGGCCACTCCTGTAGATCAGACAACAGCTATCAGAGGATTCATTTGTCAACTGTGCAAATTTCAGTTAAAGGGATAGTTCACTTTGAAATTAATTTTTGAAATGTTTTAGCTTACCTCAAGGGCATCCAAGATGTAGGTGTCTTTGTTTCCACAGTAGTTTCAATTTTGATATTTTTAGGTCAAACCGTTCTTGTCTGTCAGTCATATAATGCAGGTCTATGGTCTCCACCTCAAAGAGCATGCACAGAGAAGTCACAATTAAACATGATTTAATGACTCGTAAATGTAAGTACACATTGATGGCCTAAGACACGAAACGAGCGGTTTGTGTGAGAAAACGAACAGTATTTATATCGTTTTTACCTCTTGTAACCACAGCCACGTCCAAGTGATCTGAGGGCGCGGGCGCTTCGGTCTTTTCCGGCAAGCGCCGGAAGTGATCTCTCACGCGTGTATGTCACTCATACAATTGTTTTTAATTTTTTTAATTTTTTTTATTGTTTTCTTTTACGACGGTTTAAACATCCCGGATAAGCGCAAATTAGTACCCTTTTAATAAGCCGTCTTACCTACAATCTCTGTTCTGTGTAAACAATGAGTGACGTACACGCGCGAGAGATCACTTCCGCCGCTTGCCGGAAAAGACCGAAGCGCCCGCGCCCTCAAATCACTTGGACGTGGCTGTGGTTACAAGAGGTAAAAACGATATAAATACTGTTCGTTTTCTCACACAAACCGCTCGTTTCGTGTCTTAGGCCATCAATGTGTACTTACATTTACGAGTCATTAAATCATGTTTAATTTGGACTTCTCTGTGCATGCTCTTTGAGGTGGTGACCATAGACCTGCATTATATGACTGACAGACAAGAACGGTTTGACCTAAAAATATCAAAATTGAAACTACTGCGGAAACAAAGACACCTACATCTTGGATGCCCTTGAGGTAAGCTAAAACATACCAAAAATTTATTTCAAAGTGAACTATCCCTTTAACTCTCTGCTGATCTTGGCTTATTTTAGACTGCATTTTTGTTTTACTTTACCGGAATGTTAAGAAAATTAGTGACATTTGTGGCACTGGCTATATTTTCATTTTTTAAATAGTCACACTTGTGATCTTTGCATAGTATAAGCATATTAAATTAATTGAAATATGAGTACAATCTAAAGTAGCCTTTAATAATGTCTAAATATATATCCAAATGCAAAACATAATAAAAGTAATTAATTATATATATATATATACATGCATACAGTGGTGGCCAACATTTTTAGAACGGTAAGATGTTTTTTACGTTTTAAAAGAAGTCTCTTCTGCTAAAAATACAGCAAAAACAGTAATATTATGAAATATGTTTACAATTGAAATAACTGTTTTCTATTTGAATATATTTTAAAATGCAATTTATTTCTGTGTTGGTAAAGCTGAATTTTCAGCATCATTACTCCAGTCTTCAGTCACATGATGCTTCAGAAATCATACTAATATAATTCTAATAAATTCAAAAGAACAGCATTTATCTGAAATGGAAAGATTTTGCAACAAACATCAAAAACTTTTAAAACATTTAAAAAAAATCTTGCCGATCTAATCATTTTGGCCACCACTGTAAATACACACACACACACACACACACACACACATATACATATATACATATATATACACACACACACACATATATATTTCCATATTTCTATGCTCTTGACTTAAGAAAATAAGCAGGGTCAATTTCGATTGTATGTTGACTGCAATTTTTGTGTCCAATAAAATTATCTTTAAAATGAGAAATTGGCGTTCGACAAACTCATGTGTCTTCCATGCAGCAACACCACACAAACTTGTGTGACTGTGAATCGTTCTTTGTAAAAGTGATCTCGTTCGATGATCTTACCGAGAAAGGTGCCCAGGAAGAAGACACCCAGAGGCACATTAATGACCGGTGAGGTGATGTTGATGAACCAGTTCGGAAGGAAAGGAGTGATTCTCAAAAAAATGATGTAATTGATGAGGTGTTCTCTATGCTTGTCCACCTACAATGACATTAAACATCGGCTCAGCATTACAGTCAGTCAATTCACATGCAAAAATGAAAGCTTATGATATGAAAATGTCACCTGTTGTGACCATTTCTGAGCTCTCTCTGTGAGGTACTTGTAGACCATCGGCCTCCCGACTAAATAAGACAACATATAGCAAAAAGATGCTCCAAGGCCTGAACACTGTAAAGCATAAAACACAACAACATTTTTACATAAAAAAATAGTCACTTTTCATACCAGAAGCCAAAGTTTGGCAGACAGACCATTTTAAAAGGAATTTGCATACAAACAAGGAACTTACCAGACAGACGAGGAAGAGAGCGAGCGGGAAAGGGTAGAGATAACCAGACAGTATACTGAGGAATATGGAGCCTGGGATGGCAAACGTCTGAAGGCTGAGTAAGGCTTAGTTAAGGCCTTAAATCAATATTGAATAAATACAGAGCAAGCTGAACCAAATCGTACATACTGTAACTGATACTGAACTATATGAATAACAAATACTCCAGGCAATTATTCTGTTACAGTTAACCTGTTAGAAAAGATGTTGTGTGGCACACAAAATGTTTGACTCGACCCTCGGTTCGCAAAAACAAACAAAAAACGAGTGCAATAATGCACTTACAATGGAAGTGTAAAGGAAGTTCTTCGCTTAGAGGGTAAAAAGAAGTTCGAAATAAGTGAGCAGCGGTTTACTCTTAGCGAACATCCCGACACTGCTGAGATGAATATGTAAATATGTGCTGTGTGCTTTCCTCTCAATAACAAAATAAACACACAACTAAAATAGGGGTGCAACGGATCAAAAAACTCACGGTTCGGATTGTTTCTCGGATCGGATCATTTTTCGGATCAGCAAAAAAGACAAAACAAATAAACATAAGTTTTGTCTTTTTTTTTTTATCAACACTTTTAAATGATTAAATTTAAATATATAAAATCAACTTAAAGTGCACAAGGCATAATATCGTATTTTTAGAGATATTAGGGGGGTTGACTGGTTGACTTACCGAAACAGGCCAATCAGGATGCTCTCTGTCTTACATGCACACACACGCAAGGTCTCTCGCTCTCTCCCTCTCTGCCGTGTGCGCGCTATATAGGCTATGTTATGCGCGCAGTATGTTCTGTCTCGCATGCGCGCTCTAGATTCCGGGAGATTTGAACTAATTTGCGGGCATCAGGGAGCCGCTATCAATATGCAGGATTTTTACAAGTACATTTTTTTAATGCCAATTCAGCGAAACTCCGGACTGTCTGGCCAAAATCCGGACGTATGGCCACCCTACTACACACACCGTCACGGTTTTATCCACTAACCTCTTTCCTTCATCATTATATCCCATACAGGGGATTTAAATGACGTGGGGCGTTCGAACACCTCCGTTCCTCCGCTCGCCATGACCACGCTGTGGAGATATGTGTGGACTGAACATGCGTACAGTTTTTTTTTGTTTTTTTTCATAAATCCACGGATCACGTGTGTGCCGAACCGAAGATATTGATCCGAACGGTTCAGAAAGCATCGGATCATAGCGATGTGGATGTTTGCACCAGCTCTGCGATTCGACACGTTTATTTATATAGCACTTTATACAATAGATTGCTTTAAAGAGGTCATCGGATGCCCATTTTCCACAAGTTGGTATGAATCTTAGGGTGTTCGTGTAAAGTCTGTAACATACTTTGGTTAAAATTCCTCAATGGTTGTGTAGAACATATTTTTTAATATATCTCCAATTGTGTTTGGCTGAAAGAAGAAAGTCATATACACCTAGGATGGCTTGAGGGCGAGTAAATTATGGGATCATTTTCATTTTTGGGTGAACTATTCCTTAAACGGGAAAGACATTTTGAAAGCTAAAAATGGGAATAATAAGGCTACAAATGTCAACATTTTGTTAACTTCAATGGTTAACATGAATTAACGATTACAAATATTTCTAAACAATTTATTAATCTTAATTTCACATTTACTAATGAATTATTACTTTACTAATACATTATTAAAATTGTTAATGGACCAGAACTAGTGTGAACTAATAAATAAATATTGTTAACAATTTGGCTAACACTTTAATGTAGTGTCCTTGTTACAAATTACATGTAGTTACTATAGTAATAACTGTATATTATGCATAATTACACGCAACTCAAGCCTAACCCTATGGTAAGTACATGTTAATTAATATTACTCCATACTTAAAAGTATAATTACACTGTAACAAGGACACCTTAAAATAAAGTGCAACCCCAAATTGATTGCTCATTGTTATTAATGCATAACTGATGTTATCTAATGGGACCTTATTGTAAAGTATTACCAAAAATGTGTTATTTGAAATGTCCTGTTAAAGGTTAGTCTACTGTTCTAAGTTTTAATCCATTTGAATCAGCATTCAGTTGAAATATTCATACTGGTTCATTCGTTTCATTGAATGATCTGAATTAAATGAACAATTAATTCTCAAAATGGACATCACTACCGGTGGCATTCTTCAGGGAAGTACCAAATTTCGGCTTGTTCTTTTGTCAATAATATTGACGAACAATCAAAATCAAGATTGCTAATCGCACAAAGGATACAAGATATATGTAGCAAAGTATGCTACAAGCACTTGGGTGTAATATGTGTCCTTGTATTTAGACAGCACTGTGCCCAAAGCCTTGGCATCATCCATGTCTTTAGGAATTTTGATTTTTCCTTTCTCGTCTCTGCAAGACATCAAGAAAAGCATCAAACCATATTAAAAAAACTCCACCAGTACAGAAAAGTGCAGTCAGAAGGGGAGGTAGACTTACTCGCTCAGCTCTGGGAAATTTCTGAACACTAGATACATGACACAAGCAGAACAGGCAAAGATGGAGACGAGGAGGAGGATTGACATGCGTGCAGAGGCTCCTCCGGGTGACTGGACTCCTTAGAGAATAATTAAAAAAAAATCATGAATAACCTCTCAAATCATCTGTGCAATGTGTTGCATACATTTGCATCACTTGCTCATGAGCCTCAGGGAGATTCAGGCCCGTGAGAGCGGTCCAATGCGGTGAGCTAGAGAACGCCAAAAAACGCGTATGATAATGTGACATCAGCTTAAAGGAGCAGTGTGATTATTATCGACACCAAATCGGTTTACAAAAAATAACTTTCTGAGGAAAATCTAGGTGGTTAGCAGGCTTAAGCCCAAGTAGTTGACATATAGAATACATATTAAGCATAAATAAAATGAATTTAATATAAATTATTATCAGGCTGAAGATGTTTTATCACATTTAAATATTGTGTTTTTTATTAAATCTAGCTCTTTTTATTTTGTATGTTTGTTTAAAATAACCTGTTATACTATCAAATCATAAATCCAGTATGTTTTATTTGTTGATATTTCTACTAATACTATTAAAAGTATTATAAGATAGTCGGTTCACTCCAAGTCATTACGAATCAGAAATGCTTGAAAGATACGATTATCAGTTCAGTTAGAACAACTCAATTCCTAAACGAAAAAGAAGAGAAAAAATAATAATAATAAAAAAAAATCACACTGCACTTTTATTTCGCCTTGTGACATCACGGGTCACGAGTGATGTTTAAATGTATCAGCCTGTTTAATATATATTGTATCAATAACAAAATTAAAGAAGAATCCTTTAATATACAAATATAGGATTTATTATCCAGTTAAACATGTTTGGGAAAGATTTAGGCTGAATATACATGTGAATTTAGTGGACTGTTGAAATAAACTATTTTGCATTTGATTTCTCATGTATTTTTTTCTAGTAGCTAATGTTGGTAAAAATGTGACTATGTAACAACTCTTGTTCTTGTGGCATTAAATAAAAAAAAGTTCAGTTTAGAGGCTGAACTCTGACTAAACGTACGAGTAATGCAAAGGCAAACACATCACCAGTGTATTACACAATACATTTGGTCTGAGTCACATTTATAGTCCATTCAGATGAAAGTTTGCTGTAGATGGTCTAGTTTCTTCCCTAAAGACACACTTTAAGAGAAGAAATAACACAAAATCAAATAATAATCGACAAAACATTTGATCCCTGATCTGAAGAGTTAATTAATTTGATTTTAACGTTAGTCCTAGATATTCAAGTTCCAGCTGTCATATTTTCTGGTCGTGTTCAACAACAGTTTCTCAATATAAATATATCCATATATGAACTATTCCGACTCCGAATAATCGAGGAACATTTACATAATAACTGTGTGAGATTGATATCAGGAGGACATCCAGTCTGAATTACCTTTGGGATCTGGTGTTTCGTTGGAGGGCCTCGGTTCCGGCTCGACCAGAGGACTGTTCTCTGTCTCACGGTTTGCTCTCTTCTTGGCCATGACGATCTGTTTCAGCTAAAGAAAATAACGAAGGCAAATCTCAGATATTAACTGAGATCATATGTCAATGTAAAAGCTAAAATCTCCTCCTACTTCTCAGGACACCGGTGACCTGTGACAGTTGTCTTCTTCCTCGGTGCTGTTCCGTTCAGATGTCAAAGTCATTGTTAGGCCGCTACTGCCATCTAGTGACAACACTCAACACAAGCGCCTTGGAGTGACCGGAGTGACGGGAGTGACACGTAATACCCATAGACTGTGGTAAATACCATGGTAAAAACATGGGCTGAATCCGAAAGCGCCCCCTATACCCTAAAATAGGGCATTGTTTGAGGGGACAGCCATTTGTAGTGGTGTCCGAAACCGTAGTGGACGTTATTGAGTGCACTTATTCAATCCCACATTGAACCGCAATAACGAATTCGCTCGCTATTTTTCATTCACTCCTTCAAGTGAACAGTATTAGTGGAATAGTGGAGGGTTTAGGGGGCGATTTTGGATTCAGCCATGGATAACCTTTACAAAAAAGGGTCACTGCGACAGTATCATGATAACTACTTAAACATTAAGTAGTAAAACTTGAACATTAACTTGAACATTAACTTAAACATTAAGTAGTCGCCTATAGGCTACCACCAGGGTCTTTTTTTGTAAGTTGTGGTAATATTCAGTAGGCTATCTAAAGCAAAATAGGCCTACAATATAGCATCTCTATATTAGTAAACAGAAATGTTAAAGCAAAATGTAAACTTGGGAGAATTGAGTAAAGACACAATGTAGCATTTTAATGTTTATTTATAGTGACTGACAATAGCTTACAATAATTCATTTCATCCCTGTGGGGACAAAAGGTGGATACCATTAACCATGTAAAAGTTTGTAGTGGTGTCCGAAAGTTTGTAGTGGTGTTTGTAGTGGATACCATTAACCAAGTCCATTTGTAGTGGTGTCCGATACCGTAGTGGACGTTATTGAGTGCACTTATTCAATCCCACATTGAACCGCAATAACGAATTTGCTCGCTATTTTTCATTCACTCCTTCAAGTGAACAGTATTAGTGGAATAGTGGAGGGTTTAGGGGGCGATTTTGGATTCAGCCATGGATAACCTTTACAAAAAAGGGTCACTGCGACAGTATCATGATAACTACTTAAACATTAAGTAGTAAAACTTGAACATTAACTTGAACATTAACTTAAACATTAAGTAGTCGCCTATAGGCTACCACCAGGGTCTTTTTTTGTAAGTTGTGGTAATATTCAGTAGGCTATCTAAAGCAAAATAGGCCTACAATATAGCATCTCTATATTAGTAAACAGAAATGTTAAAGCAAAATGTAAACTTGGGAGAATTGAGTAAAGACACAATGTAGCATTTTAATGTTTATTTATAGTGACTGACAATAGCTTACAATAATTCATTTCATCCCTGTGGGGACAAAAGGTGGATACCATTAACCATGTAAAAGTAGGAACACATAGAAATAAATAGGATTTTGTTTACACTAAGTGATAGAAAGTGAAGAGATGCCTACATGCCTGCAGCATGATTAGGTTATTTAAGTTAGAACTTTACTAAACAATGACTAAATTACTAACCCACGTAAAAATCGCTTGTAACTTGGTTCAGCCAAAGTTATTGGGGAGACACAAACTGAATTTATTAGAGGCTGGTCTATACATAACAATGTAATATTCGACTGGTTCTGGACTGGAGTATAATCAAGAAATAGAGGATGATGGGGTTATTTTATTTTTGGATTTCTATAAAGCTTTTGATATGTTAGAACATTCTTTTTTTTTTCTTTTTTTTTTTTAATTTATGGGTTTGGTGAACATTTTTGTATTGTTATTCAGTTATGATACCAGCTCAGTTTCCGACCAGATTTGATATCAAGAGAGGAGTTAAACAAAGCTACCCCTTCTCACCTTCTTTATTTATTCTGGCTAGAGATGTTGGATCTCCTAATTAAAAACTCAAACACCGAAAGATTAAATATGTTTGGACAGGAAATTGTGCTTAGTCAATTGGCTGACGATACCACATTATTTTTAAAAGGTCTTGACCAGATTCCTAAAGTAATTGTGATTCAGGTTTAAAACTCAATATTGGCAAATGTGAAATTATTACCATACATGAATGCCCTCTTAAAACGTCATAATATTCTGAGTCAAGTGTCAAATATTTAGGCATAAACATTTTTAAGGACGAGGTCATGATGGAAAAGCAAAATGTCTGGAATAGAATGAATGGATCATTCTGATGGATGGATGCAAAGGGATTTGTCTATTTTTTAAAGGATTTATAACTAAAATAGAAAGTTTTTATAGTATCTATCCTGCATCTTGTCTCTCTATTTCTAATAGAGCTATTAAGACCAATAATCAAATTAATTAAAATCGTATATGGAGAAAACGTGTGCACTATGATTTGATATGATATAAGAGAGCACAACTTATACAAGATTATGAAAATGGTGGTTTACAAGCCTTTGACTTTGTGTAAATGAAGGTCAGGTGGCTAAAAAAAAATTTAACAAATGAACATAGTTTCTGGTTTTGCATTCTCAGAGATATATTTAGAAAATTGGGTGGAATTGATTTCCTATGAGATGTGATTTTACTGTTTCCAGACTGCCAATCAAATGATCTTCCATAACAGACTGTTATATTGGAGGCTATTATGCACCGATACAACTTTTTCCAGAACGAGTCGGATACCGATACTTTCATTTTTGGTACTTGCTGATACCGAGTATCGATACCTGTATTTTCACTGCATTTGTAATTTTTAAATGTATAGAGAAACCAAAATAATATAAATCATATTAGTTGGCTTAATTTGTTCAGCAAATATATATTTCCTTCAGTTATTTTCATGCTTAATTAAGCTTGCTAAAATGCATTGTATGAGCTTCTGTTACATTCACTGTTCATTCTTGCTCATATTTAATCTTTCATTTAATAGCACAGTGCATATTTAGAGCTGCTTCAGCAGGGCTCAGTGCTGAGGATTGAGTAACCGGTATAGCGCTATAGTGCACCGTAGCTACTTCTTTTTTGTGTGTATTATCAATCTGTATGTCAGGAATCTCAGGATACACGGTAATGGACCAGAACTCTAGGTTCGCTACAGAGGGCAAGAATGAGGTAAAGCACACTAACACAAAAACCAGACAGACCAGGAAAATGACTTTTACCGAGATGGTTTTCTTTTACTTTGCAGGAAAATTTAAAGGCTTTGTAGTTACTTGATTTATGTTATGATTTAGTGATTGTGGTAAGACAGCAGAGAGAGTGAGATTCCAAACGCAATTTAATCACAAGTATAATCCAAAGTCATTGTCCATACCAGGCAGAAGGTCAAGCACATGTAATCAGCCCGAACACACATACAATCCACAAAGTGCAGACAGGAACAAGGAATCCAGGACTCAGGCAGAGATAAACTAAATCTCTGCCTGAGATTTAGTTTACACAAGAACACAAGAACTGCTCGCAATGCTTAAGGAGAATGTTAACCAAAAACAAACAAGACTTCATAACGAATGCAAGGCAAAGGGGCACACTTAGGCTCAGGAAATGATCTGCAGGCTAGGACTGGCTCAGAAACAGACTTAGGCTATCCCAGATCTGCAGACTAGGACTGGCTCAGAAACAGACTTAGGCTCAGGAACAGATCTGCAGACTAGGACTGACTCAGGAACAGATCTGCAGACTAGGACTGACTCAGGAACAGATCTGCAGACTAGGACTGACTCAGGAACAGACTTAGGCTCAGGAACAGATCTGCAGACTAGGACTGACTCAGGAACAGACTTAGGCTCAGGAACAGATCTGCAGACTAGGACTGACTCAGGAACAGATCTGCAGACTAGGACTGACTCAGGAACAGACTTAGGCTCAGGAACAGATCTGCAGACTAGGACTGACTCAGGAACAGACTTAGGCTCAGGAACAGATCTGCAGACTAGGACTGGCTCAGGAACAGACTTAAGCTCAGGAACAGATCTGCAGACTAGGACTGACTCAGGAACAGACTTAGGCTCAGAAACAGATCTGCAGACTAGGACTGGCTCAGGAACAGACTTAAGCTCAGGAACAGATCTGCAGACTAGGACTGACTCAGGAACAGACTTAGGCTCAGGAACAGATCTGCAGACTAGGATTGACTCAGGAACAGACTTAGGCTCAGGAACAGATCTGCAGACTAGGACTGACTCAGGAACAGACTTAGGCTCAGGAACAGATCTGCAGACTAGGACTGACTCAGGAACAGATCTGCAGACTAGGACTGACTCAGGAACAGACTTAGGCTCAGGAACAGATCTGCAGACTAGGACTGGCTCAGGAACAGATCTGCAGACTAGGACTGACTCAGGAACAGACTTAGGCTCAGGAACAGATCTGCAGACTAGGACTGACTCAGGAACAGACTTAGGCTCAGGAACAGATCTGCAGACTAGGACTGGCTCAGGAACAGACTTAAGCTCAGGAACAGATCTGCAGACTAGGACTGACTCAGGAACAGACTTAGGCTCAGGAACAGATCTGCAGACTAGGACTGGCTCAGGAACAGACTTAAGCTCAGGAACAGATCTGCAGACTAGGACTGACTCAGGAACAGACTTAGGCTCAGGAACAGATCTGCAGACTAGGACTGACTCAGGAACAGACTTAGGCTCAGGAACAGATCTGCAGACTAGGACTGACTCAGGAACAGACTTAGGCTCAGGAACAGATCTGCAGACTAGGACTGACTCAGGAACAGATCTGCAGACTAGGACTGACTCAGGAACAGACTTAGGCTCAGGAACAGATCTGCAGACTAGGACTGACTCAGGAACAGACTTAGGCTCAGGAACAGATCTGCAGACTAGGACTGGCTCAGGAACAGACTTAGGCTCAGGAACAGATCTGCAGACTAGGACTGACTCAGGAACAGATCTGCAGACTAGGACTGGCTCAGGAACAGACTTAGGCTCAGGAACAGATCTGCAGACTAGGACTGACTCAGGAACAGATCTGCAGACTAGGACTGGCTCAGGAACAGACTTAGGCTCAGGAACAGATCTGCAGACTAGGACTGACTCAGGAACAGATCTGCAGACTAGGACTGACTCAGGAACAGACTTAGGCTCAGGAACAGATCTGCAGACTAGGACTGACTCAGGAACAGACTTAGGCTCAGGAACAGATCTGCAGACTAGGACTGGCTCAGGAACAGACTTAGGCTCAGGAACAGATCTGCAGACTAGGACTGGCTCAGGAACAGACTTAAGCTCAGGAACAGATCTGCAGACTAGGACTGACTCAGGAACAGACTTAGGCTCAGGAACAGATCTGCAGACTAGGACTGGCTCAGGAACAGACTCAGGAACATATCTGCAGACTAGGACTGACTCAGGAACAGACTTAGGCTCAGGAACAGATCTGCAGACTAGGACTGACTCAGGAACAGACTTAGGCTCAGGAACAGATCTGCAGACTAGGACTGGCTCAGGAACAGACTTAAGCTCAGGAACAGATCTGCAGACTAGGACTGACTCAGGAACAGACTCAGACTCAGGAACAGATCTACAGACTAGGACTGGCTCAGGAACAGATCTGCAGACTAGGACTGACTCAGGAACAGACTCAGACTCAGGAACAGATCTACAGACTAGGACTGACTCAGGAACAGATCTGCAGACTAGGACTGACTCAGGAACAGACTTAGGCTCAGGAACAGATCTGCAGACTAGGACTGACTCAGGAACAGACTTAGGCTCAGGAACAGATCTGCAGACTAGGACTGACTCAGGAACAGACTTAGGCTCAGGAACAGATCTGCAGACTAGGACTGGCTCAGGAACAGACTTAGGCTCAGGAACAGATCTGCAGACTAGGACTGGCTCAGGAACAGACTTAAGCTCAGGAACAGATCGGCAGACTAGGACTGACTCAGGAACAGACTTAGGCTCAGGAACAGATCTGCAGACTAGGACTGGCTCAGGAACAGACTCAGGAACATATCTGCAGACTAGGACTGACTCAGGAACAGACTTAAGCTCAGGAACAGATCTGCAGACTAGGACTGACTCAGGAACAGACTTGGGCTCAGGAACAGATCTGCAGACTAGGACTGACTCAGGAACAGACTCAGAAACATATCTGCAGAATAGGACTGACTCAGGAACCGACTCAGGAACATATCTGCAGACTAGGACTGACTCAGGAACAGACTCAGACTCAGGAACAGATCTGCAGACTAGGACTGACTCAGGAACAGACTCAGACTCAGGAACAGATCTGCAGACTAGGACTGACTCAGGAACAGACTCAGACTCAGGAACAGATCTGCAGACTAGGACTGACTCAGGAACAGACTCAGGAACATATCTGCAGACTAGGACTGACTCAGGAACAGACTCAGGAACATATCTGCAGACTAGGACTGACTCAGGAACAGACTCAGGAACATATCTGCAGACTAGGACTGACTCAGGAACAGACTCAGGAACATATCTGCAGACTAGGACTGACTCAGGAACAGACTCAGGAACAGATCTGCAGACTAGGACTGACTCAGGAACAGACTTAGGCTCAGGAACAGATCTGCAGACTAGGACTGGCTCAGGAACAGACTTAGGCTCAGGAACAGATCTGCAGACTAGGACTGACTCAGGAACAGACTTAGGCTCAGGAACAGATCTGCAGACTAGGACTGGCTCAGGAACAGACTCAGACTCAGGAACAGATCTACAGACTAGGACTGACTCAGGAACAGATCTGCAGACTAGGACTGACTCAGGAACAGACTCAGACTCAGGAACAGATCTACAGACTAGGACTGGCTCAGGAACAGACTCAGACTCAGGAACAGATCTACAGACTAGGACTGGCTCAGGAACAGATCTGCAGACTAGGACTGACTCAGGAACAGACTCAGACTCAGGAACAGATCTACAGACTAGGACTGACTCAGGAACAGATCTGCAGACTAGGACTGGCTCAGGAACAGACTTAGGCTCAGGAACAGATCTGCAGACTAGGACTGACTCAGGAACAGACTCAGACTCAGGAACAGATCTACAGACTAGGACTGACTCAGGAACAGATCTGCAGACTAGGACTGGCTCAGGAACAGACTTAGGCTCAGGAACAGATCTGCAGACTAGGACTGGCTCAGGAACAGATCTGCAGACTAGGACTGACTCAGGAACAGACTTAGGCTCAGGAACAGATCTGCAGACTAGGAATGGCTCAGGAACAGATCTGCAGACTAGGACTGACTCAGGAACAGACTCAGGAACAGATCTGCAGACTAGGACTGGCTCAGGAACAGACTTAGGCTCAGGAACAGATCTGCAGACTAGGAATGGCTCAGGAACAGATCTGCAGACTAGGACTGACTCAGGAACAGATCTGCAGACTAGGAATGGCTCAGGAACAGATCTGCAGACTAGGACTGACTCAGGAACAGACTCAGGAACATATCTGCAGACTAGGACTGACTCAGGAACAGACTCAGGCTCAGGAACAGATCTGCAGACTAGGACTGACTCAGGAACAGATCTGCAGACTAGGACTGGCTCAGGAACAGATCTGCAGACTAGGACTGGCATCACGCATCACACACGCATCAACACACGCATAACGATGTCTTTAATAACTTTTGGGCCAGCCAGTTTCGATCCCTTAAGAAGCCTATGGAGGAGTGATCCAGCTCTCAGATTTAATAAAAAATATCTTAATTTGTGTTCCGAAGATGAACGAAAGTCTTACGGGGTTGGAACAACATGAGGGTGAGTAATTACTGACAGGATTTTCATTTTGGGGTGAACTAACCCTTTAAGACGTAATTACGCGTTTATGCGTGAGTTTCACACATTTTGCCCATAGTGGCCCTATGAATCCCTACTATCCCTTCGAACTTGTCTCTCAGCCACCTGCTCATAGAGATCAATTAAAGCTCGTTTTGAGAAAACAAATTGGGTTGTAGCTCGTTCTCAACTTTGCTATGATTGGAAATAAGTGTAATTTGTGATTTAACACCGTTTAGCTCACGAGTTATTGATCCGGGAAGTTCGAATCTGTGAATATATTGCTAACATACGTTACTGAACTCCTTAAGTTAAAAAATTTGAGTCCAAGTTCAAACATTATCTGCTCCATTGTTAACATACGGAGCTGTCTGAAACACTGCCAGCTGGACATTAAACAGGAAGTGTTTGTCCGAGCTCACAACAAGGTTTGCGAGAGAACGCAAAAGATTTGCGGGGGAAGGCAGAGTTTCTCTGGGGAACGCAAAAGATTTGCGAAAGAACGCAAAAGATTTGAAAATAATTGTTTCTTCCATGATCCCAAATTTTTTCCACCACCATGTCCCTTTAGGTGCTCCGTAAGTCCCCATCTTACAAGTTTATTTTTTAGAAGACGACAGTAAATAGACATTGCCAAAAGAAAATGCATAATAATAACAACCTACTTGAGCATCAATAATAATTGATCATAACTGAGCAGTGAATCAGCGTAGCAGAATGATTTCTGAAAGATCATATGACACTGAAGACTGGAGTAGGCTAACGATGACATTTTCACACTTTTGACCAAAGCTAATGTTACAGATGATGCCATATATGCTACCATGTTTTTGTTTTATTTCCCAGAACCTTACGAAAATTAACCATGGTTTTAAACAAAAGAACATGGTGGTTATTGCTACACTTAGGCCTACCATAGTTTAACCATGGTATTTAAAACTGTGGTTGTACGAATGCTAATCAATAAATCCACCAAAAATACATGGTGTCTACAAGTTTACTATAATAAAAACCATGGTTAATTTTCGTAAGGGTTACTATTCTTTTAAGTTTTTTTAAAAAGTCCAATATATTAAGACGTTTCTTAAACGGATAAGAATAAAACACAATTGCATAACCGAAATTGTTATTGTGTACACACACACAGCTACGGTCACCATGGAAACAATTGTTTGTATTGTATTAGGTAATTTGGAACTCTTTTAGTGAAAGGCAAACGACAAAAACTACAACTCCCTACACGTCCTACTTGTGGAACGGAAATTCGCTGTGGAGAAATTGGCGCTGATCTATCCGGCCCATCTCGACTGCTCTTCCTTTCGCGCCGGTAGCAGAAGAATTGAGCGTCCATGTGCGCAGAGCCCGCCCGGGACTTCATAGATCACTGAGCCTTCCGAATCCGAGCCAGACCGCGACCTTGTAATGGATCTCAACTCTTTGATCGAGGCCCTTCGGGGCACCATGGACGCAAATTTGCGTGAGGCCGCAGAGAGACAACTCAACGAGGTAAAGTGATCGAGTGATGATGATGATGGTGGTGCGCCTCGGGCCTTGCGCAGCAGGAATGCTGTAGCCGTCATTTAATTTTGACAAAATGTATTTTTTTGAAGCCGGTTTTGATGGCTTATAGCCCTTCAGTAAAATGTAATATGAGTTGATAATGTGTTAAAGGGTCGAAATCATATATTTTTAGCGTTCTGTATCACGCGCTAGCAGCTCGTGTCCGTGTACTACGTCACCGCGAAAATGGCTCACGGAAAAGTGATAGTGTTAAACAGACGATACGGCGCTTAAATGTAACATGACTTTGAATAGTTGTTTGGAATGGATAAGGTTGTGTGCGTCTTTGTGTTTTGAGGTCATGTATTAAAGTGTGTGAGCATGTTGAGGCTGTTTATTTGGTGTGCGCGAATGTGCTAGCGCGTGAGATGCTAGGCGCTAGTCTCTCACGTGTCAACATGAGGCAGGAGGCTTGTTGTTATTTCGCGCTCTTCATAAACCCCTTCACCAACTTAACACTCACATTTTCCGTGGTCATATTTAAACCAACACGCGGACACATTACGATTCTTTTTAATGTGTTAAATCGCTATTCTAGCACTGTTTGGGCCCATTACTTTAGCAAACTGCGTCAGTATTTTAAAAGTACTGTGGTACCATGTTACAGTGATGTGTCAGATGCTGACATCATGATAATTAGATAAATTTGCAACACTACAACAATGTCTCATTTGTTAACATTTGTTAATGCATTTGCTGACACAAGCAGTATATTTCTTGCGGCTTTATTAATGTTAGGTATCAGCAGTTAAATACAGTTCTTCCTTCATGTTAGTTCACACAGCATTTTACTGGTAATTGAACAATGCATTAGTAAAAGTTGAAAGCAACTTTAACTAAGAATAAGACACGTAGAAACATTAATAATTATAAGTTCATCTTAACTAATATAGTTAACTTCTGATGTTAATAAAAGAAACCTTATTGTAGAGTAAATACAGAGAAAAATACAGAATATGGATATATACATGGTATTTACCACGGTACATGTACTTAAAGCGTAGCTTATTTTTAGGACAGTTATATTGACAATCATAATAGATGGTGTTGTCAGTTCTGGTTGCTACCTAAAGCTTTTTTACATAGCCTAGTCTGTAATTGTCACTTTAACTTATTGTTTTTTTACATGCTTATACCTTGGTTTGGGGGACATATCAATGGTAATACCATATGTTTTGTGCCATGGTACAACTAGTTTTCTTCATACATCATGGTAATAATGTCATGATATTGTCAAATGATTCCATAATTGTGTGACTCAAGGATAGTTTTACTTTCAATAACTAGTGTCGGTCTAATACTATCAAAATATGTTGTTGGGGGGTCATGTACTATGAAGAAGATTTAGGCCTAAGTCTTGTCATGTGTTCTTGTTTAAAGTAATGTTTCTAATAACCGAAGTAGTGCTTTTGATTTCTGGCCTGTGTATTAGTTTGTCCCCAGACATTTTTGGTAGATGGCTAGTCAGTTATATAAAATTTTTCGCTTGCTTTGCTTCATATGTCAGGATCAAATAGCTATTAGGTGGTTAGTCAACTTTTATTGTGTGGTATCTAGGTGCTTGAGTTTGTTTAGTAGGGTTGGGAGACCTGCGAGTCTCTTTTAGCCGTAATCTGTATACAGTAGTAGTTACTTTAGCAACATTAGTAAGACATATCTGAGAGATCAGCCCATAGACCTGCCTGGAAGGGATTTTGAAGTCCTCAGGATGACTTAAAGTCTTTCAAATAGTAAATTATTATTAATATATGAAAATCTAACTCCAATATTAATTCCACTGCTAAAAACACAAGATGGTAACTGAACATTTTCCTCAATTATTTTGGTAGCACATAAGTAGTGGTCGACCGATATAGGTTTATTGATGGCCGATGCCGATATCTTAGAGAGCAGGTTGGCCGATATTTATATATACTTTTATATTTATTTCAATCAATATTTAATAAATTAGAAAACCAAATCCTTAAAATAAACATGCTTATACTTTAGATGGCAACTTCTCGAATCTGCAATCCTATTACAGTATTTTTCACAAATAAAGTAATTGTTTAAAAATTACAGCACACAGTGAAAACGATATGAATGACACAGTGGGCAACTGGATATAGCACAGCATATTTATAAATTAAGGATTTAAAGTTTTTCGAACGCTTCTCCTGTGAAGCTGATCTTTTGTTCGCATTCACTCACTTAGCACGGACCGACCATCACTCGCGTCGCATGTAACACGTTACAAATCCACACTTCACAAGATATCACAGCTGGATTCGATTAAATCTTCAAGGTTTGTGAAATTAAATGTTTACTAGATATTCAGAGATTTGTTTAAATGATGTAGATGCGCATTTGCTGAATGTTGACGGTAAATGATAAAAAGTATTTTAGCCTGATTGTTTGCCTTTTCTGTTACAAATTATATAAAAGCAATGCTTTACTTTTTCGCATACCATTTACTTCTTTGTTTACCAGGTCTGTCTAACAAAGTGTTCGATATGACTGACAGAGATCGTAAACTAATGAAGACGGAGAATGTGAGTGAGCGCTGGTGTTCTCAGCGCCACCCGTCAAAATAAAAGTCCCACTTCCAACACATCGGCCAATTAGAAAAACTTATCGGCCGATGCCGATATTTAAAAAATGGCAAATATCGACCGATATATCGGCCATGGCGATATATCGGTTGACCACTAGTAATAAGTAGGTACTAACCCTGAACCTACCCCTAAACCAGGGGTCGGCAACCCAAAATGTTGAAAGAGCCATATTGGACCAAAAAAAAATAAAAAAATCTGTCTGGAGCCGCAAAAAAATAAAAGCTTTATTATAAGCCTTATAATGAAGGCAACACATGCTGTAGCCTAAGTGTTATATTAGCCCTCTAGTATCATGATAAGTAGGCTACAAATTAGAGCTTAGATCGGGCCCAAAAAATCAAGCCCGGCCCGACACAAGCCCGAGCCCGATTTTAACCCGACCATTTTTTAATGCGTGGGTCGTTATAACTGACGTTCTCAACTTTCTTTCACCCGCAACATTTATGTTTTGTCCCGCTCCCGCCCGCAAATAGACTTTTTTTCTGTACCTCCAAATACTTTCAAGTTGGCCTACGTGTCGCCACCATACATCCTCCCGATAAATTATTTGTTATTAAAGCATTAAAACACAAACCACTGTTAATTTAACATAAAAGCAAGCAGTTTACTATGCGTGCATGGTTTGGGATGACTTTGGGACGCAAAGTGCGTTCTCTTAATAATTCCTAAAAAGCTGACAGTTCATCGCGATCTCACACATCTCTGTTATTATCAATGAAGCTGACTGCACAATGAATCTTTCATAATATCCACACGTTGTTTGTTATAATTGGAGGATTTGCCAGCATACAGAATTCAGCACCGAACAAAAAAGTCAGTTTTGAGCGTGAGGGGAGTCTATCTTAAATGCTTCTGATTGGCCATTGCGTTCAAGAAATCAACACATATGTCTGTGATTGGCTATATCGCTCAACGCTGCAAACATGTTATGAATAGAAATTCTGGCCTGTAAATCGTTTCTATTTTGTTTTAGTAGAGTGAGTGCATTACCGC